TTACAAGGTTCTTCTTTCCTCTTTTTTAGCTTATAAGGTCTCTATGAGTTAGTTTCAGATAGTATTTGCCATCTGATGTTCCCGTGACAGGGTGGAGAGCAAGAAAGTTATGTTGAAAATTTGTTCCTTTCTCTTCATGGGAACAATATTGAAAATGTAAATATTTTTCTCCCACTGTAAGAGAGAACAGAGGGAGTAACCCTTACCAAATGCACGTCTTGCTCAACACTACATGCCATAATGCAGCAATGATAGCTCCCTGGTTAGACAAGGCTTCCAAGTCTTGATAGCAATGAAAAAAAAAAATACTGTGAATATTAATTCCGGACACTAATCTTCCTTCTCCCAATCTTTATATCTTTCTAATTTATGTGGACAAGAAATGGTAGTAGATGCTGAATGCCCAGCTGGATAGGCTGCATTAAGAAGAGTGTCCACTCTGAAATTGTTGGCAGTTAAACAGGGAACACTGTATAGGAGCTGTAGTTTTCAGATTTTTAATTCTTGACTTCTAATTTTTTAAGTTCTTTACTGTATTGCTTCTGTAGTGAATTGATTATGGTCGTGTTCTCAATTTTTAACGTTATCAGCTTAATCCAGTCATTCTTTTGCAACCCAAATCTTGGAAACCTCAAAAGGGTGCTCCCGATAAGTTGGCTTACAATTTCTCAGGAGGTGAAGTGGTTGCCAGCACACAAAGTAGGTCACTGATTTCTTAAAACGTTTAGTTAATATATGCAGGTTGTTCTCATGTGTCCAGGCAGTTCTTATCCAGAGGGATAGAAAAGCTTGAAGAATTATTCTGGTTTTTAAAAAATATTCATGAAAAAATCTGTTTTGACTGTCTTGTTGAAGATTTGGGGTGGGAGGGACTGGCCTCTTTGAAGAGATGAGGAGGATTACTTTGCAGAAAGGAGACTGGAGAACTGGGACAGTAATTCTCCAACAGCAAAAAAGTCATGGACACAGTGGGTGTTTAAAATTGAATTCTCGATGCCTGTTCAAGGTAGTCTTTCTCAACAACTTTTTTTTGCACCTCTGATCATTTAGGCCTTTCCCTGATCTTCTACATGAGTGGCTGGTATTCCTTCCTTTCTCTGATAGGAAGCTTTTTCTGTGGAGACAGAGGCAAGGCTTCCTCAGAGACTGAGAGATACTGAGGCAGATGATGGTGTACCCTGGCTTGTTGAAGACAAAGTTGATGTGTTGTGATGGGAGGATCTATGGCAGAGGGTAAACTAAGTGCTTCGCAGTATTTTTATTAAAGAAAGAAAAGTAATTGGTCTGGGATCAGAAGTAATCTGATGGCACAGGAGTTGATCAGAGAAAGGGATTGCAAGAGGAGCAAACCATCATGGAGAAAATGTAAATTAAAACTAATTCGAATCTTATTGTATCTTGGCAACAAGCAAAATCCAGCATAGTTGAACTCATGACAGCGTGTAGGCTCTTTGGGAGCAAGTTTGGAAGGAAAGGCCCGCCTTTTTCCATTTTCTTGTCAGTACTGTATCCCGTCTTCCTTCCCCTCCTGTTCTTTGCTTCCCTCCACAATACGTATCTGACAAATGTCTTTAGGTAAGCACTAATTGACTCATTAATCGTGGCAGTTTTTATTATTTGCTATGAAAAGCTGATGGTCTGCTCATGTTTTGAGTGTATTTAATATAAAGGACAACTGTATTTTGCTATAAGGTTTCCTAATGCAGGTGCAAAATATGTGTCTTGCTGCTGGGTAAATGAAGGAAGGGCATCCCAGTGCTTGCTCTTTCTTAGATGTGAGTCTGTTGATAGCCTGGGGTAGCCAGTGTAGACTAATGCACCCTGAAGAATTCACTAGCTGTGCTTACAGTGTAATACAGTAAAGCTAGTATAATTTCATTTAATTTGAACAAGTAACAGTTCCAGTTTTCAGAAAAAATAAGCTTCTCGGAACTCTTGATTTCAAATGTATTGCTTAGAGAATTCTCAGAAAACAGGAATTTCTGAAACTTGGACAAAGATATGTTTATGACATGAAGGAACAGGAAAAATGCACCATTTGTGCCAAAACAGGATTTGTGTTTTAACTGCTTTGTCTTAATAGAATGATCTTATTTTCAAATTGTAAAATGCTGATCATGTGTTTAAAATAAAAACTACCACATCAGCAACTGGCTCAAATACCGCCTTTCAAGTAAGTCTGCTTTATGTAATCCCTGAAATAACTGGGTTTTTTAGTTTTTAAATCACTCCTGCTTCACAGTTGAACTCTGCTAATTTTAAAAAAGCCTTTAAAGTAAATCTGCAGGAATTGTTTGGTCTTTCTTGACATGTTCTGTGCATTTATTATATCATAGTTGTATGAAATTCTCTGTTTTCTCACTTTTTAGTCACATTTAAGTGAGGGTGTGACAGTGAGGGTGTCTGTTTTTTCACATAGTTTATAACCTTGCGAGCACACAGCAAAGTTTTGCCTTCAAGATGCGTAACAGTCAAGAATGGAAAGAGGGGTTATTTCACAGTGTGATTGGAGCAGTCACACAGCAGCATTTTGCCAGATCTCCAGAGCCTGTATCCAGCTGGAGACTATATTCCAGCTTCTTTAGTTGATGCCTGGTTACAGCAGTGAACATAACAGTAGGAAACAACCTGACCCACTGTTAGCTGACACTGGCATAGTTGCTGTGCTGTTCTTTAGTAAAATGCCATTCTTTAAATGGCATTTTTTCTTACAGAGAAGCAAGCTTTTTAGGGAGTGATAATTTTTCTTTCCTAGAATAAATGATATATTTAGAAAAATAGACAGGAGCTTGGGTACATAATCCTTTCATTGGGTCTAAAGAAGAAGCTGTGTTATATTTGGTTGGCATTAGCAAAAGGAGTTCTGTCATCTTTATTTGATGTATCAGATCAGAAGCATCTCTAGAAACTTGAGCTTTCCTCTGAACACTGCAGCTCAGCTGTTGATGTTTTGATTAGTGACACATTTCTGTTAGTAGAAATCCATTTGTGTAATTTCAGAACTGACTTATTTTACACATTTCATGATCTAATTTAAGAGGTATTTCTGCTCTGAGATGCATCACTTGAGGTGAAAATGTATTTTTGTATTTATGATTCACTCACAGATTTAAGCTAGAATGACTGAATGAGTATGTGGCTGGGGAAAGCAAAACATAGAATCATAGAATCAGATGAGTTGGAAAAGATCATCAGGTCCAACCTTGATCCAACACTGATTACTAGGTCGTGGCACTAAATGCCACATCCAGTCTCATCTTAAAAACCTCCAGGGACGGTGAATCCACCACTTCCCTGTGCAGGCATTCCAATGTCTCATTCCTTTCTCTGTAAAACATTTCTTCCTAATGTCCAACCTAAACCTCCCCTGGCACAGCTTAAAACTTGCCCTCTTGTTCTACTGCTGATTGCCTGGGAGAAGAGACTAACCCCCACCTGGCTACAACCTCCTCTCAGGGAGTTATAGAGAGTGATGAGGTCTCCCCTGAGCCTCCTCTTCTCCAGGCTAAACAACCCCAGCTCCCTCAGCGTCTCCTCATAGGACTTGTGTTCAAGTCCCTTCACCAGCCTCATTGCTCTTCTCTGGACCTGCTCCAGCACCTCAATGAGGGGCCCAGAACTGGACACAGCACTCCAGGTGTGGCCTCACTTCCCTGGTCTTGCTGGCCACACTGTTCCTGATCCAGCCCAGGATGCCATTGACCTTCTTGGCCACCTGGGCACACTGCTGGCTCATGTTCAGCCTCCTGTCGATCAGCACCCCCAGGTCCCTTTCTGCCTGGCTGCTCTCCAGCCACTCTGTGCCCAGCCTGTAGCGCTGCAGGGGGTTGTTGTGGCCAAAGTGCAGGACCCGGCACTTGACCTTGTTGAACTTAATCCCATTGGAATCAGACCATCTCTCCAGCCTATCCAGGTCCCTCTGTAGAGCCCTCCTGCCTTCCAGCTGATCAACACTTGCCCCCAGCTTGGTGTCATCTGCAAATTTGCTGATGGTACCCCTTATCCAGATCATCCGTAAAGATATTAAACAGGACTGGTCCCAGCACTGATCCCTGGGGAACACCACTGGTGACCGGCTGCCAACTGGATGCAGCCCCGTTCACCAGCACTCTCTGGGCCCGGCCCTCCAGCCAGTTCCTAACCCAGCACAGAGTGTCCCTGTCCAAGCCATGGGCTGCCAGCTTTTCCAGGAAAATTTAAACATTTATAAACTCATCATCAGCTGGCTTTTTTAATAGCTCATGCTTACCCTTTGCTTGGAGAGGCTATAGTTCTGAGGTCTCCTAGATCTGCCTTGGACACTGTTTAACTGTGTGTTGGGTGTTCTTTGATAGCTGATTGTTTTAATGCATATCAGTTAAATATCAGTTTTAATGCAAATCAGTTTGCTCTTTTATGGTAACAAGGTTATCCTCTTGGGGAACACCATAGTAAAACTGTGGCAAATCAGGCCAAAGGTGCATTTACTTAGTCTAGTACCCCTTTTTGACAGAGAACAGTAGTGGAAGTTCTTAAAAAATAGGAGTGGGTAGAGAAGGTAGAGATGTGATATTTCCCAACAATGCTTACACAGCATCCTTTCTTCTTAGGTTATTAAAAATACCTATACCTACCACATTGTAAAAAAATTGAACTTCACGGAATCCCAGAATGGCTGAGGTTGAAAGGGACCTCTAGAGGTCATCTTGTCCAAGCTGTCAAGTTAAGTTTAAAAAGTTAAGTTACTGTTATTTAGTTTAGTAACTATTATGTAAATATTAAGTAACTAATTTAATATTGTAGATATTATAAGTATCTATACAGTATAAATAGTATTACATGTTCAGCATAATAAAATTGCTTAGAATTTGATGAGATATAATCTAAATTCAAGAAAAGTTGTACAATTCATCAAAGCAACTCATATAAAACACAAATACATCATAATGTATTTAATAGGTTCTTCTATGCTGCAATGAATATACTGTTTTAAATGGACAATATTCTTGTATCTTTTTCAGGGTTCAGCTGATCCCTTAAACAGTGCATTCCACCTGACATACAACATGGTATTGAACTTGCTTCGAGTAGAGGAAATTAACCCTGAATACATGTTAGAAAAATCCTTCTATCAATTCCAACATTACAGAACTATTCCAGAAATAGTAGAAAGTAAGTATTGCTGCATATTGTTCTCACATGAGGTCTGAAAGATGGTGCACTGTGAGGTTGGGTGGTTACACTTCAGCAGGCTTATAGGAGTTTATACCTGTGCAGGAGTTTATACCTTTTGTCTTCCTTGCCAACAGTTGCCACTGCATCATTTATTGCTGTGTTACAGTTTCAGTAAGAGTTATTTCTTCTTGTTCTTAGGACCTATATTGATATGCACTGTCAGTTTATGAAGAGAGTCAGACAAGAATGGTAGTCACATTGCTAAACTGTTGGGCTGGAAGAAGGAAAAACAACTTAAAAATTTCTATGGCTTGTTTGAGATGCAGAGAAGAAAAATCTTTTACCTTTTAATATCTCATTATAGTCTGTAAAAAGAATTTAAGCGCACTGCATTTGGAGTAGTGTAAGAAAGAAATGTTTGATTACAATACAAAGCTCGGAGAGGACTGAGACATTATTTGCACTGCACTGAGTAACATTTTGAGTCATGATCTTTAAATAGTGGGTTTTCATGAGCCAGAGTCAGTTTCCAGAGATCTCAGCCAGTGTTTGAGAGCAAGGCCTCTTTCAAAACTTAAGCCAGAAGAATCTTAGGAACATGACAGGTGACTATGATTAATAAGCAGTCCATCAGTTTATTTCTTAATTGAATATTAAGAGAGAAAGTTTGTAGTCGCATGTCGCTTTGACAGACATGCTTAGGGAGGCTTTCAATAACCTTTACAGAGTTTCTGTTAGTTTATGGGTGCAATAGTAGTTAAATATAGTATTTATTTCTTTGGAACCTTCCTGTTCTGGTTGACATGCCGAGATCTCCAGTCTGTCATTCCAGCATTGCTGTTTAAATAGAAAAATAGAGCTGAAGAACATTTTTCATAGTTTTTGGAGAGTTTCAGTTTAGGCACCATATATTAGAATTTTGTAACCGCTTCAGCTGCAGTTAAAAACACAAAGGAGAGAATTGGCCTTTTAGATCATGGAGGAAAGTATGCCATGAGTATGGATGAATGGCTTGTTTCTTTAAAAAGTTGGCAGCTAAAAATAGGGAGCACTTCCCTGAGCTGTCTCTCAATTCCAAAAGAAGTGGAATTTCTGGGCCGTTTCAGAGTATTCAAATAACACACAAGAGAATGAGCTGGTAGAGAGAAAAAAGAGACCTTTATAAAATCTGTCCTTAGTTTATGTTTACTAGTGGTATTACCAGTGTGAGAGGATGAATCATGTTGCTTAGTTTTAGTGGGACTTCTGTGCAAAGCTGAATCAGTTATTCCTGGACAATTTGGTGTCTATCCTTCTCCAATTTCTCAAGCTTGTTTACTTAAAAAATATAATGCTGATATTTAATTTTTTATAAATAAATTTAGTGGTCCATTGTATAGATTTCTAGCTTTCCAGAGAATGGATTATTGTGAACAGAAAATGAGTACCAAAAATGGTCACAAAATATTAGTCATGTAGAGCTGAAAGTGAAACATTGATTTCTAAATTTGCAAAGTTAATAATTTCCATGAGATTTTACTTTTCATTATAGGGGTCAATAATTTGGAAGCACAGTACAACAAAATTGTAATTCCCAATGAAGAAAATGTGGTGATATACTACAGAATCCGACAGCAGCTTGCAAAACTGGGTAAAGATATTGAAGAGTATATTCATAAACCAAAGTACTGCTTGCCCTTTCTACAGCCAGGAAGACTGGTAAAGGTAATTTGATTTTTTTTTTTTCCCCCTTACATTTCAAAACTTTACGTATCTGTGAAATCTGCAGGGTTCATTTTTGTCTGCCAGTTTACTATCTTGAAAAATTACATACATCACACTAAGCACCAGTTTTGACTTGTTGTGTTTCTTTGCTAAACATTCAGTAATGCATTAAAACAAATATTCTTTTCATAATGATTGCTGTTGTAAATATCAGAAATACAAAGTTATGCTTGTTGGGATGTGATTATACATGATTATAACATCTTGTAATATTTCCAGGTGAAGAATGAAGGTGATGACTATGGATGGGGAGTGGTTGTTAACTTCTCTAAGAAGTCAAATGTGAAGGTAAAATACACATTCTCTCCATTAGCAAAATATATATGTTACTGCTTTTTCTGAGATCTGTTTTCTTTATATATAGTTTTCAAAGACAAAAAAATTTCCTTTCACTCCAGAATTTACAAAAAGCTTTGGCTTTCCTGAAGTGAAAGGGCAAATAAAAAATGCTATAGAAAATGGGATGAAATGCACGTCCTGTGTTCACTTTTTAAGTTTTGACGTATTTGTGGAGGAAATGCTTGCTTGTGCGTAGCACTGCAGGCATTTCAAACCAGGTTGTTTCTGAGACATCTCCTACGCTACCTAACCTGCTCACGAGAAATGTTCTTGGAGTGAGGCTTGAGAATATAGGGATACTGACATTTGGCTCTGTGTAGAAGGTTGTCTTAAACTGGGGAACTGTGTCTTGAGTTAGTGCATGAGACATGGGATTGCTTGTCCTCTGACATTGCTGTAGAGTTGAAAGTTGAGAAATTAAAATACAAAGAGAGCAAAACAATAGAAATGGATGTGGGGAAATTTGGAAGACAATACAGAGGGCAGTGATGCAATAGAAGCCAGAATTGGTTTTACTTTCAAAAATGCATTTTATAGTTGGTGTCTGCATAACCCCTGATGATGTTTTGGTCTCCCTTTTAGAAATGTTTTGACAGGCTACTCTGCTCCTTGAATTAACACCTAAGTTTAAAGCATATTTTTCTGTGGTAGCATTTTTGCTATAATTTTAGCAGGAGAGCAATGGCATTAATTACTAGGTCTAAATGAGAAGTTGCCTTTGTTATGTTCTGGTGGCTCCTGTTGTGGCACCTTTTGGAGCTTCTCTAATATGTTCATTAAAGAGGAAATGAGAAAAATGTGTGCATGCAGAACCTGTTAAAAGAGATTTTTGTTTCAGTTTTCTATATTCCTTTTGAAAGCCACATTTTTTTTTCTTTTTTCAGGTTAAAAAACTGAACTGTTACTGCTGTTGTTTAAACCTTTGCTTCTAGATTGCTTTTTTTCATAGAGCCACATGAGTAGTAAACCAGATTTCCCCCTAACCCCAACTCCCTATGTAAAATTGACAACTTCTGTGTCACTGGAGGCGTTTCTTCAATCTGTGTCATATTTTATCCACAGATATATATTTGCCTTCCCTATCTGGCTTGTCTCACTGTTGTACAAACTTCTGGTTTGAACACTAGCTTTGAAAGTATGGTCTGTTTTGCAAGAGATGGCTCTGGCTCCAGCAGCACTTTTTTCATTAAGTCATTCTAGCAGCTGGGTTGAATTTTTCCTTCTGAGTATGTGGAAAGAATGACAGCAGGTGCTGGAAGTTAAGGAACAGACCTAAAGTTATGTAACTTTTAAAATCAGTATGAAAGTACTTGTTGTCACGAGCAGAGGCAAAGCAAATTACTTGAAGAAGCTGTTATTTACCCATTTCAATGGTCTATTCAGTGCATTTTCATCCTTAGTACTGGAAAGGTATCACTATTATGCAGTGTCTTTAAACCTTCATCCACTTGTAAGCTTTGGATTTGCTTTTAGAAATTATGTTGAATTCAGTCTATATTACTAGTTTTTCTTCAGTTGTGAATTTTTCTGCACTGTGTCATAGTTCTGAATTAAGTCCTTTCTTTTAGTGAGGAATGTATGAATTAATATTGGCACTTATATTATGTCTGTATTTCACTAAGTAATACTTTCTGTTCATTGCACTGTGAAAGCATGAGTCATGTCAGTTATGTTTATTGTTAGTTATATGTAGATGCTTTCCCATCATAATTTTGCACTTCAGTATTCCACAAAATTATCAGTGCAAATAGCAGTCTATCTGGAATTACAGTAGACAGAATAAGTTTTTTTTTTCAAGCAGAGGTGCTTGCTATATATTGTACATTATAGTAGGCAGCAAAGTAACAGTTTACTTTGGAATTCATAAAAAAACACAGATATTTTCTAGACATCAAATTTTGGTCTTTAAACAGTTATCGATACTAAAATTTGAGATGCTGAAATTCTGTCTTCCCTTTCAGATTATTATAATCCTTGTGTATTTATAATGCTTACTACATAAATGTATTTTTAGTGCTGTACCATGGTCATTGAATTTTCAGTGAGTCTAATGTTACTAATCTGGGATTCTGAATTTTTTTACCTGTGCTGTAATTGGGTTTTTTTATTATTTTTTAATGCAAAGTTGAGTACTGCTAGCATGATGCAAATAAGCAAAAATGTTTCAAAACATGTTGGCTTCCTCTGAAAGAGCTACACCTAGAAGAAAAGGCAGAAACACCTAAAGCTGCAAGACTTAAGGCTACACTGGTAGGGGAGGATGGAGAGGGGTAATTTTTCAAGTGCGTTTTTCAGTGGGAGGGATCTTTCAATCAATACCACTTCAATAGTTTTTAGAATGTACTGCAACACTGAGCTAGTACTATGTAAAGAAACGTAGCTCATTTCATACTGTTCATGTTGAACAAATAATTTATTTGCCTTTCATTCTCTCTGGTATTTGAAAATAACTGTTGTAGGCCTGATTTCTTTTCTGTATCCTCAACAGCCAAATTCTGGTGAATTGGACCCGTTGTATGTAGTTGAAGTGCTCCTACACTGCAGCAAAGACAGTTTGAAAAATTCTGCTACTGAGGCTGCAAAGCCAGCCAGACCTGATGAGAAAGGAGAGATGCAGGTTGGTTACACATGTTTATTCTCAATAGTTCCTTACAAAATTTCTCAAGTATTCTATTTCCAAAGCATTTGCAGACTGTGATAAAAAAAGGGTTGATGCATTAAGGAAGAGAAAGGAGTGTACACCTAACTCTGCCTTCTTAATAAATGGATAAATTTTCATCAGTGCTGTTTGACAGATGCTTTTTTTTATCAGTATCTTGTCCCTGGGAACAGAATTCCTTTTTTATTTCTTAGAATCATAGAACATTAGGGTTGGAAAAGAGCTCCAAGATGGTGAAGACCAACTTTTGACCAAACACTACCTTGTCAACTAGACCATAAGCACTAAATGCCACATCCAGTCATTTCTTGAACACTTCCAGGGAGGGTGACTCCACCACTTCCCTGGGCAGCTTTGCAAGACTCTCTCATTCTAAAATTAAGTTGAAATATTTATTGAAAGCATTTGCATTATTTAAAATGTTCAGTCTGACTGTATCAAGACGAACAGTTACAATTCTCAGATCAGAGACAATTGTTTAATTTGTCCACATTATTTTTCTCAGAAAGTACATTTAACCTTGAGATACAGTATTGATTCTTTGGAGTGTTATCATGGTTTTCATACTTAGGAATATGTATTTTCTGGTTTGATGTCCTCTGTTAGCATTCTTAGTTAAGTATATGACAATAATTTGTCTGGTTTGACTCATAAAAGGTATTCCAGCAGCTAAGACACAAGGTAATAGAAAAGCTGTTGTTTTCATGGTCAATCTCTCTCTAGATTTAAGTGCATTCAGAATTTTTGAGTTTGGACAAACTTACTTTTCTTCTTTACAAATGCTTTATCTCATTCCTGCTTCTGTATATTCCTTTACCCACTGCGATCTCCTTGTATACTCCATTTTCCTTTGAAAAAGTTTTGCTACAGACCAGTAATAAGAAGTATGTTTTTTTTACTAATTTGTCAGTTACTACATTGTCTTTGATAGGTTGTTCCTGTTCTGGTGCATCTTATCTCAGCTATCAGCAGTGTCCGACTCTACATTCCGAAAGACCTGAGGCCTATCGATAACAGGCAAAGCGTGTTAAAGTCTATACAGGTAAGCTCCACTGGGCTTTGTAAGCATTCTGCTCCGATTAGTGATGTACTCGTGGACTCAAGACAGTTTATTCTAAAGAAATTTGTATAAAGCTTCTGTCAAATCTTCAGCCTTATTTTTTAAAGGGATTGGAAGCCACAGTGTATGTCAATTGTTTCTCCTTGTTGAGACATTTTAAACTGATTTTGAAAACTGCTGAAACATCACATAACAAACAATACAGCCTTCTATGTCCCTATAATTACAGCAGCTAATTTGTAAAATATGTTACTGTTACTAATCTTACAAGAAAAAAAACTTCTTTCCTCCTTTTAGGAAGTACAGAAGCGATTTCCCGATGGAGTACCATTACTAGACCCTATTGATGATATGGGCATCAAAGACCAAGGGTTGAAAAAAGTAATCCAAAAAGTAGAGGCGTTTGAGCATAGGATGTATTCACATCCTCTTCACAATGATCCCAACTTGGAAACCGTATACAAACTTTGCGAAAAAAAAGCACAGGTAAAGAGACAAACCAAAACAGTGTATCTTCTTGCTTGCTTTGCTTTTTATTTGCAAAGCCCAAATAACCCTTTTTTTAAAAATGAATAAGCCCAAATAAACCCTTTTGAATACAGTAGAATACAGTAAAATTATTGAATCTCAGTAACAAACTCACTGAGTTGGTGGTGTGTCCCTGATGGATACAGATGGGAAGTATATCTGGGAAGAAAACTCTGAAGAAGTCATTGGGAATTAGAGTGGTCCCCCCTCTAGTGGGGACCACTAAAGTCTCTTTCACTGAATAGGCATAGAGTACAATACGGTGTAGGAGAAGTCTTTATAGATAATTTTTGATACATAGGTAATTTTAACTTAAAATCTGTAATATACTTATGCAAAGGTAGGTTGAATTGATGGAGCTTATTAGCTGGGGGAGTGTACCACAGAAATCATTGTGCTGCCCCTTCCTGATCTGACTCCCGTCCTGGAAGCAATGCACTTATTTATTTTGTATAGAGTTGTACCCTCCTAGACTGAAACTGGTTGTGCACAAAACCAGTTTCTGTGCTGCTCCAAAAAACAGGTTCTTCAGGGGCTGCTTCACAGGAGTGAGGTAGTTCTGGTATGGGCAACACAAAGTTACATGTGGTAAGACCTGATGAACTGAGCAGCCTTCTGCAAAGGTTGTCTGCTCTGAGAATATGGACAGTGACTGTGATGAACTGTCAAACACTGGAGAAGCTCAAATAGCAGAAAATAATGCCTTTGAGTTCCATTTCATTGAATAGTTGGTTAGCTGAGACTTAGTTCAGATCTCAGAAGATGAGTACTCATTTCTAAACAAAAGATTGCTTCCATGCAGTCTTTTGGTTTGGACTTCATTGGGTTGTTTCCCACACTGGGTAAAGAGCTTGACTTCTCAAACTTGCCAGAGTTTCCTATGGATAAATGGACCTGATTTTTTTAGATGATGATGATTATTATTATTATTTAATTTCTTCTAAACCTTCTTCTTAGGAGAGTTAGGCAAGTCATTGTCAACTAATATGTTCATATATGATTGTTCTGACACCTTGTCTTTAAAACAGTTGCATCTGTTAAACCAGCACCGTGTAATTCCTGTCCTTCTGCCCCCCCCAGATTGCAATGGATATTAAAGTGGCAAAGCGAGAACTGAAGAAAGCCAGAACTGTCCTACAAATGGATGAACTCAAATGCCGCAAGCGTGTTTTGAGAAGACTGGGGTTTGCCACGTCTTCAGACGTTATTGAGATGAAAGGACGGGTTGCTTGTGAAATCAGCAGGTAAGTGGTTTCTGCGCAAAGTATTTATTGTCAGAAATACACACTTCACTGTCCTTGCTGAAGTTAGTACCTTATGTTTATAGTTGGAAGTTCTGAGACCATTATAAGAAAGATTCTTCAGAGACAATGTGATTTGTGTAATAAAGGGAATATACTGATTCAGGCAGTTAAAGGTAGCAACTCAAGGACAAAAAAAAAAAGGCAGATTTTAAAATTAAAACATAGATGCGAAAATGCCAAAACAGGGGCTATTTTTGAACCTGGCTTAGGCAACAGCCTGTGTTTTCTTTTAATGTTGTACTTACATGCGAGGATGGTCTTGATGTCTGTGGTTGAAGCGGAACCAGGACTGTTGGTACAGAGTCACTCACATACAAGAGCATAACAATGATTGTCAGCAATTATCAAGTTGCTGACAGGTTTGGAATATAGCTTAATTGTTTCCATAGGGCTGATGAAACAATTCTGTGAGATGGTGCATTGTACTCTAATATATTTAGCAGGCACATATATATTGAAAGATAGGGAAACTCATGAATTGGACTTTAATATTTTATAGTGTAATTTAGATTTCTGTAGAATTACATATTTTTAAAAGTCACAGTGACTGCTGTACTCCTTATCTTACAGGTGAGTTCGAAAGATGCTACCTATATTTGTTTGATATCTAATAACTTTTTCCCTTGCAAAATTGGAAAACAAGTGAGGAAGCTGAATCAGAATTTTTTCAAATTCCTGCCTGCCTGAAACTGTCTGATGAGTTACTCAAGTCTTTATAAAAATCTGCTTTGTTTCCCCCCCATCTTGTGCATTTGTCTGATAATCTCTAAAAACAAAGGTTTCGTCTTGCCAACAATTCAAGGTTTTATCCAAATAAGTATGTTTGGATTTTGTATCCACATCGCACACTTCCTTTTATGATTCATAATTAAGTCTTTATTCTTCAAGGAGAGGAAGTTTGTTTCTTTTTTCAATAGCATGGAAATATCCAGTTGAATCTTTTATGAGCAACAGGAGTAAAAGTTTTAGTCCTTTTCTTAAGTTGCCAAACTCTGTAGTTCTTTTCCATCTTTTGATAACCTGTCTGAAAAAAAACTGACTAAAGCAACTGTTAATACTAACTTACATGAACTGTCAGTAGAGATAAGTCTTTCCCCTAAACTTCCTTGTCTTTATTTTAGTGCTGATGAACTACTCCTGACAGAAATGATGTTCAATGGTCTCTTCAATGACTTGTCTGCAGAACAGGCAACTGCACTACTCAGCTGTTTCGTATTTCAAGAGAATGTGAGTTACTTCTTCAGGTTCAAGAATTCTAGACATTCCTGTGTTCCAACAGTATTGTTAATAATTCAGTTCCAGAAATCGGTCCTAAAAATTTGAGCCATTGCAAATTTTTTGTCCCTTCCTAAGGTGTTTGATGTCAACTCCCATTAAACTTAACAAAAACATTGCAGTCCTTCTCGTGAATGAAGCAGCATGAATAGATTCTCAGCATACTTGCTGATATTTATGTATGTATACATAAATATGCCTCCATATAATTTAAAAGGTAGAAATGCTTATTTCAGAAAGAAGCACGCTGGTGTTAGGCAGTCTTTAATTCTGAGACATGTCTATGTTTTGTTATTTGGACAGAACCCTTGACTTATTGATGGAAATGGCAGTACCACATGGAACTGATACTGGAAAAAGCTGCTAAAAACAGATCATATGTTCTTAAAAGCAAAAACATGGGCATTTGATACCAGATGTCATTGTTTTCCCACCTACAAGCTGTATAGGTTAGCATCATCAGGGAAATATAGTAACTTCCATGTGAAACGTTTTTGCAAATAGTTAGCAAGATGTATCACTCATGTTGATTCTAAATATAGAAGAAAGAGTAGCAGATACTAACGATTAAATTTGTTAGTAGAAGGGGCACCAAGGTTAGCCACTGTTAATTAGAATATTGTTTCACTCAACAATAGTACTTGAGCTTAAACAGCAAGGGCATAAAAATGTTGCTTTATTTTCAACAGCCTTGTTTTCATACCTTGCCACTTATGTTTAAGTTATTAAAAGCATTTGCATTGTTAAAAGAAAAGCTTTAATAGTCAAAAGCAGTAAATGGCAGTTCATTTGGCAGTCCAAAATGATGGTAGAGGGAATTTTAGAAGTATCCATGGAGTAGGTGCTTTTTTTCATAGTGGTGGCATAGTGTACAGAAATATTTAGTTTTCCGCTTTAGTTTGAGAAACAAGTATTTGGGGAATTCAGTAATTTTAGTGTCTCATAACACTTTTGAGAAGTTTTTGGAATAATTTAGGGTGGCAGTATCAACCCCCAAATTTCTGGTTTTTGCATTTGGTGTAGAGCGAATGTACGGGAGCACATGAGCCTATTTAACGTTTTCTTTTTCAGTCCAGTGAAATGCCCAAGTTGACAGAGCAGTTGGCAGGACCACTTCGGCAAATGCAGGTAATTAGAAATCTGTCTGTGCTCAGGGTTAACATGAGCAAAATTTGAATAATGTATAATAAGTGCACGGTAAAGACCTGACCTTGGATCATCAGTGAATTTGGCTGGCACTGCATGTGATTTTGCAGTGTGTAATAGTGGATTATCACAGAATCATACAATCAGATGGGTTGGAAAGGACCTCTGAGATAATCAAGTCCAGCCCTTGATCCACTACTACCACAGTTATATTGTTTGCAAGAAATTTGTGCTAATTTAGAACATGCCTTTAAAACTTTTATAAGCTTGCTTACTGCACTGTAAATTGTTAGTGCAGGCAGGCTTAATGTAAATGGTGGTTTAGTTTCTGATTCTGAGTAATTTCACACTAGAAAGGAAACCTCATCCTGTATGCAGTACCTAATAATGGACAAGTCTTCTCTCAGTTAAACACTCTGTTTAAAGTGTATTATAAATTTAAAATACTTTATTTTAAAGGAGTGTGCAAAAAGGATCGCCAAGGTGTCAGCAGAAGCAAAACTGGAAATCGATGAAGAAAATTACTTAAATTCTTTCAGACCCAACCTAATGGATGTTGTGCACACATGGGCAAATGGAGCTAACTTTGCTCACATCTGCAAAATGACTGATGTCTTTGAAGGTAGGTTAATCACTTGTTCTTTAGAAGGTGTGAGATGGTAATTCCAAAATATAGAATGGTAATTCTGAAAACCCTTATAATGAACTCAGATACCATGCAGGTATCTGCATGGCTAAAATGAAGGGGAAAAAGAATTATTGACTTTATATATTAATTTCTAGTTACACTGTTGATAATTTAGAATCTTAGAAGATTTTTTAAAGGGTATCTCTATTTTAAAAACTTTCTGTAAAACTCAGAAATTCTAAGCGTTAAGACAAAAGTTAATGTTTACTTCTTCTAGTTAAAGGGAAAAATACCATGGTCCAAATGCTTGTCATGAAGAAGTACATCTCTTGTGCTTGCCCTCATTACGGTTATGTGTTTTATTTACCTGGTAACCAGCTGACAGTTCCTCCTGCTGGCTTAATCATGACAGAAGGAAAAAGTGATAATCGGGTCTTTGTTTTAGATGGTTAATCACAGCAGTGCAATGCAGATAGTTGTAAAGCCCAGATATAAACTCTCATATGGGTTAATTTGGTTCCTAAAACTGGAGTACAAATAATTGCCCCTTGAGGAAAAAGACTTTGTTTTCATTTTTTTATAAGTATGATGACTTAAAGTCCAGATACTTTGTAAAATGACAAACCACATCCCTGAAGGTCAAACCACAATGAAAAAAATAATTTCATCTTCTAACAGCTGTGTTGGAAGTTGTGAAGAACAGTAGGATGTCTTACAAGTCTGTGCAATGACTGATATTTGAAAATTCTTTTGATTTTTGAAGTTGTTACTGTCACTGCTGCCCTGCCTCTCTCAAATGCTGCTTTCTTGTTTGCAAATGGGAGCCTTTAAAACAAGGGAATTCATGCACATAATTCATGCATGTAATCCAGTGCACAGACCAAGGAACTTTCTAAAGTATGTTGCTTGGGAGCAACAGGAGTCCTGACAGTCTTTGATTCAGCAGATTCCTCCTATTGCAATGAGTATCTGAGCCTTCCATCTGCAGCAGATGCACCCTGAGTAGGTGGAACACAAAAGTAGCAGTAGCTGCCCTATGTTTTTACATTGACACTTGACTGTTCAGAGTACATTGGGCAGTAACATTTCCCATTTACCATATATGTACTAAGACTGGTTGGTCAGCTTTGTCCTAGTCCATAGTGCCAGCTCCCTCAAAATTAGACCTTACTGGCCCTGTTTTGAAGAGGTCAGCTCTTTTGGCAAGGGTTGATGCGTGATTTTCCCCTTAATTTTCAATAGGCTGGCTTTCTGTGCATTGTCCAAAAAGAAGGAAAGCACTTCAGGCATCCACTTCTGGTTATGCTTTCTTTAAATGCAGTATGGTATTCCTAAATTCCAGGGTAGTTTGCCCTGGTTAGCCAAGTGATGACAGTGATTTCCAAATCAGAATACAAAAGAAGCCCAAGCGCTCCAAGAGCAAGTGTGCTTGCCACACACGGGAGCAGTGTTGGCTTACTAATGAAAATGCATTGTCATTAAGCTGAAATGTGTGTTGGGAATAAATAAAAAAGAGAGACGCTTTTTAAAGCTGTCAGGAAGAATGCAAAACTGGGATAAGTATCCCATCAGTTAACTGCAGATCAGCTGCTTCATTTTGTGGAAATATGTAGGTTTTTTTTCTTTCATAAAAAAAGTATGTCTGCAACAACCCCAGCTACGCTGCCTCTAGACAAGTACTCCCTGGGATGGCAGTTGGGGTCAGCCTGTAAATGGAGATGAGCAGGATCTTTGACAGCTGAGCCAGGGCCTGCCACAGTGCAGCATGGCCATGCTCGGGGAGCTGTCCATGGGTCACTTGTGTTGGCTTGTGCTTTGGGAGAGTTAGTTTTTTCATCTCATGTCACTGCAGTAGGTTTTACAGATTGCTGCCCTTACACCAACTGTTCTTACCACAAGAACTGATACGACCTACTAAGGCCATATAAATGTTTTTTAGAAGAGAAGTGTTACTTTACTTTTCATGATTTCTCTCTGTTCCAGGAGCTTTGTAGAATGTTCTCTTCCTATGGACAGTTTTTCTTCAGATATTATGCCTTGTCTAGAGGTAGTATTTCACTGAACCATAGAAAGATCATATAGTCCAAACCCCCTTCACTGAGCATCTTCCACTAGATCTAGTTGCTCAGAGCCCCATCCAACCTGATCTTAAATGTTTCCAGGGATAGGACATCCACCTGCTCTTTGTGCAACCTGTGTTTGTGTTCCACGGAACAAAAATTTTTTCCATGCATGTAGTCTGAATCAACTCTCAGTTTAAAACCATTACCTCTTGCCCTGTCACTGAAGACTTTACTAAAAAGTCAGTCCCTGTCTTTCTTACCAGTCCTTTGAAGTACTGAAAGGCCCACAGTAAGGTCTTCCCAGAGCCTTCTCTTCTCAAGGCTAAACAACCACAACTCTCTGAGCCTGTCCTCAGAGGAGAGAGGCTCCATCTCTGATCATTTCTGTGGCCTCCTCTGACCTGTTGAACAGGTCAAGCTCCTTCCTGGACTGAGGATCCCAGAGCTGGATGCTGCACTCCAGGTGGAGTCTCACCAGAGTAGAGGGGCAGAATCACCTCCCACGCCCTGCTGCCCACACTGCTGATGCAGCCCAGGATACAATTGGCTTTCTGGGCTGCCAGTGTACATTGCCAGAGTCAGTGTACCTGACTCTTATCCACCAGCACCCCCAAATCCTTCTTGGCAGGGCTGCTTCTCAGTCCAGTCATCCCCTGTTTATGACAGTTATCTTGCCTACAGTAATTTTGACTGTAGATATAAGATGCTGCTGAAGGACCAAACAGGATACTGTTTGCTTGTGGCCAGAAGAGCACAAGCATTTAAGGTCTTTGTGAAACTCATAGCAGTGACTTAGGCTGAGCTGCAAGGAAAGTTCCAAGAGGAGATGGATGCTTTAAAAAAAAAATGACATTGGGAGTTAGATTGCAGTGTAGGAGCTGTGTCAAGACAGAGCTTTATTATATTACTGTAATCATGCAATTGAGTGGTAGAGTGGTCCATGGACTCTTGAGTGGCACAGCAGTAGTAAGTTACACTTTTACATTCTCTCAACTAAGGAACTAAGAGTTATCAAAAACAAAACAAACCAACCAACCAAACAAAACCAAATCAACAATAGATCAGTGGTGGTTCTTGAAGCAGCAAACTTTTGAATCCCCTAATCACTCATGGTTGTTGAGGGAAGTTTTAGGAAGTACTTGAAAGAAAAATCCACTAGGAATAACTTAACAGCCCATAAAGTCCTATGACTCGGTAGAGACTGTGAGGCATTTCCTTGAAGCTGTGTCCAAATACTTGTCCCTCTGCTATCTTCAGAGACAAATTTACTGTGCAAACAGAAACCAAGTTTAAAGACATATGGCTGTTCTTACTCCTGGCTTCTAGATAAATTGAACAGGGTTGAAGAATGAACTATTACTTTTGTCCTGAATTACTCAGTGACATGATGTGGCACAAAGTGATACAAGGTTTTCCCTCGCTCTTTATGCAGGAAGCATAATTCGTTGTATGAGGCGGCTGGAAGAACTGCTTCGGCAGATGTGCCAGGCTGCAAAAGCCATTGGGAACACAGAACTGGAAAACAAGTTTGCAGAGGGTATGTATTTCGCTTTCACAGTCTACAAAGTAATTCTAGAAAGCACATAAAAGAAAAGTGCCAGAGCGGGGTGGACTGCACAGTAGTGATGGCTAGAAGTGAATGAATTGGTAATGTAAACTTCTGATGTTGACTTCAGGATATATAGGATCACTGCTCTTTGTTATCTTTCCAGATAACATCTGTGCTACAAAGTTTGACTTGAAGAGGTACATAATGACAGTTAAACTAAGTTTGTGACTGAAAATGAATGTAGGAGGATGTCCCTTTAATACTTGTAACATGCTTGTAACTGTATGAAAATAGTGATTGTGTCAGTTAAGACTCATGGATATTAATACCCTTTTCCTTTTTTAATAGGGATTACGAAAATCAAAAGAGATATTGTGTTTGCTGCAAGCCTTTACCTGTAAAAGATGTCTTCCAGAAACAGTACTATATTCACATATAGGATGGAACAAGTTCATCAGCATCACATGTGACTTCCGTGTCAAGTAATTTCTTTTAATGGTGTGTACTTAGACCACAGTTGTTTCAACAAGGCATATACAAACAGCAGTGTATGTAATATAACTTGTTACTGTTTTTCAATAAAAATTTACAATTGGAATAGCTTTTTTCTTTTAAGCAAGAGCTGTAACCAACAGAAATTTAAAGTTTAGATATACAATAACTGTGGCAGATGTTACTATATACAGGTAAAGTGAGCATCCAAGAGCAGCAGCAGTCCCTTAAAGGCATTTACTTATATTACATAGTTAAACTTGTGAAGTTGTTTTCTTTCAGAGCAAGACAGGTGATGTGGATCATTCTTCATGGTTGATGATTGCTGCCAAAGTGATTTCCATTTGTTGGGGTCTCATGTAGGGTTGTATGGGAATCTTCTTTTGGTTGAAATGTACATCCTCGCACTTTGAAGAAGTCAGACACATACATAACCTAAAGGAACAAATTAGTGTTACGTCCCTGCAGTTGTAAGTCTTTGAAACAACAGTTTTTGCAGAAGGTAAATTCCATGATCAAGACTAGTAAAACCTTTATCAGTGCAAAACATTAGAAAATGGCTTAGGAAGTCTTGTGTGAAATTCTGACATCTGTTCTTTAAATAGTTTTTTATCCTTCCATTTCACACCCCCCCCCCCCACTGACCACTTAGCAGTTGGTTAGCACAGGCCTTGAATTTGGCTTAAACCATGAGTGCCTTATAGGCACTGCTTCATTACAGCAGTCATACTTTGAACAGCTATAAATGAGGGAGCAAAGTGTGCCCACATTCCAAGTACAGGTAAATCTTCTGTAATTTAAATAGAACAGGACAGGAAAGCTTTCGCTTTAGCTGAGGAACAGGGTTCAATAGTCGGTAACTGTTATTCTCTGGGGTGTCACTCTCACTTGGATTTCTTTAAAGCCAGTTAAACCAAGCTTGGCTTCCTCTCCTTGGCAATGCTCACAGCTTCTCCCTCCCCCGTACCTGTTTCTCACCCAGAAGTCCAGTACCTGTAAGGCTAACTCTGCCTACAGTAGTTCTTTCCTGCATTCCTTTGAACACAGCACCTCACTTCTTTCACAGCTGGCAGACGTCTCCCTGACTATGAGACAGGTGCCTTGATCCAGTTCTGCAGCTTGCTGCTCATTTCACCAAGGCACACTAGTAAATGATCTGGGTACGGTGCTGCAGGGAGTGCAATAAATGAGATGTCTTCTCTTATGACACCTTCCCTTCCTATATCACCTTGTCACCTTCCACTGCAATCCTGAGAACTGCAGAACATAATTTATGGCAGGAGAGTCTCCCGCACTGGCAGGTGGCTCACAACCCACCAAACTGCTTTAGCCACCAACCAGGTTGAGTTTCAGCTTCCACCTAATTCTGGATTAGCTCAATGCAATTTAGCAGTCCAGTTGCAGTTGCTGCCCCAGCATGCTCTTGCCTCAGCTCCTGTTTCTGGACAGGAACTCCTCAGTTCTTCCAGGTAAGAGTTTGGGGAAGGGAGGGTTGTTGGTGGTATCTGTTTTTTAAAATAATTTCCTCACCTTTTAACTGTTCACTGTAATGCCACCTTCTGCGGTTTCTTGTATTACCAAGAACCTCTAAGATACCTTCTGAACCACCCAGTCTCCTTCACTAAACTTGTTTTCCTAATAAAAGTGCCCTCAGCTCTTCGGTCCCTGATGTTTCTTACTCCTTGCACTCCTTTTCTTAGAAAATAAGATATTTGTACAAAAATGAGGGGTAGGGTTTCCCAGAGTTGCTCCAAGATTCGTTTTGATTATTGATTGCAACAAGTAAATGAAGTCTTGAAATGAACCATATGCTTCCTGAGAAGGGTATGGACTTTTTAAAAAACTGACAAAGTATTTATCTTGGAGGTGGTTCTTCCCAGCTGAGCCTCAGTTCTTGGTAACTGAATCCTTCAGTATGACCTCAGTTAGCTCCCATCTCTGAACTGTACATCTGTCTCTTCCCACAGATGAATCAGCCATGGCACCCTGGTGACAGTCGGTACAACTGGTGCCACCACGCCAGACCTGCTGCAATAGGTTGAGCTGAGTGTCTGTTCCCGTCCCCCACCCCCCGTTTACCTTGTATACAGTCCTGTGCCACAGTACTTGAGATTTAGAATTTGGCTAGAAGCAGAAAGCATGATTTATATATACAGGCCCACATGATTTTGCAGTTGACCATTGACACACACACGCCCCCTCAGGAATTACTCACAATGAGCACAGCTACCACTGCTCCCTGGATGAGTCCTGTTAAAACATCACTCCAGTGATGCTTGTAGTCAGAAACACGTGAGAGACCCACGTAGATAGATGCAGCAATGAGACCAAATTGTATAGTAGGACGTACAAGTCTTGCCCAATCCCCTTTCATTCTGGCCTGAAGGTAAAGCTGAAAGAAAAAGAAAAATATTTATGAATTGCAGTAAACACAGAGGCAGTAGAACTGTGTTGAGTCTGTTTGAAGAATGTAACAAATGAGTATTTTCAGGATAAAGGTTCTGATAATACCACAGGAACTTAGGGCTTAAAAAGAATCCAGTGGAAGTCAAGCCAATATTTTCCTCCTGTATGAACAACAGGAAAGCCTTATAAACCAAAGATTACATATACTATACACAGAGCTGACTTTAAAGTTGAAAACTTTAGTTTGAATTCCAGTCATCTTGTATTCTCAGTTCCAGTCACCTTTTTAAGCCCAGTATTCCAGCTATAGCCAAGTATCAGAACTAACTTGATATAATGATTGATAACATATAGGATCACATTCCTCAGTTGTCACTGGTGTATTTCACTGAGCTCTGTCTGTTTCTCACCCTTTTTAGCTGCATATTAACCATGCTGCCACTATGGTAAACAAATGGATATGAGCAGTTCCCATGCTTTTTCTCCCCCCTCAGCTCTACTTTTGTTGTATGTATCTATGCTTTTGATGTGTTCTCTGAAATTCACACTCTTACTTTGCCATCTAGTCTAAACCAAGACCCTGCCTTTGTCTCCTCTGGTCTGCCTAGGATCTGTCTAGGTCTGTCAAGCTTTATAGCTGAGGAGGATCTTCTACAGATCCACTCTGTAAACATCATCAAATTTATTCTGGAACTTGGTCCTATCACCAAAAAAAAGCACCATAGTTATCGTATTTACTGAGAAGAATAATATAGTTTGAAGTTACATTTAACATTTCAAGTATATCTTTTCAGAGCCATCTAGGAACTTCAGGGCAAGAACAAAACCTTAACTGACAGTTGAGAAATGGTAGAAGTTAACTAACACACAGACATCAGGCACTGAGCAGCACAACAAACTTCAGTAAAATCCTCCACTGCCAACTTCAAAAGCCATGGCTGAGTTTTGAGAAGCATTACATTTACAATGTAAATATAGTAACAGAGCATGCACTGTAGATGCAAAGGTGCTATTTTCCAAAGTTAAACATTTGGGGAGTGTTTCTTTGAGTAACTTACATCATACTTTTGGCATGCTGAAATTTTCAGCTATAACTGGAGCATCAAAAACATCGACCCTGTCCATAACCAGTTTTCTTTAATAGCAAGGTCAGGGTGAAATCAAACTCTGAAGAAGCACCAGCTAAGCTTGAACTGAAAAATAATTTTCCCCCTTCAAAACAGTGGGCATTGTGTATTTCTGTGGGCCTCAAACTAGGGAAAATACAAGTTAGCCACTTGAAAAATTATCTGTCACACAGTTCTTTTAATAAAAGGTGTTTTAATGGACTTACATTAATATTACTTCTAGATTTACCAACAGTAGACCAGAACACTACCCGAGTGCCAAATGGACCAGAGGTGGGCACATGCCGGTACCCTAAAGAGCTGGCTGGTTTTATACCAGCTCTTCCTTCGTCTTTCCCTGTTCTCACTAAATTCTGCTGAAGGTAGCTAAAAATACCTTGCTGCAGTGAAGTTCTTTCCATTGAAGCATTTTTAGTAGTTGGCAAAGACGTATAGTCATAGTAGAAAAAGGGTTATGCAACTGCAGATATGTGAGAAAACAGGTTTACTTCTGAACACAGAAAGAAAATGAGGCAAGCCACAGAAGCCAACTTGGAAAGATGCCCGCTCACCCCACTGAATGACCAATAAAGCAGTCTTTACATTGCCCTTATGCAGAATGTATTCAGATTTTTTTCTGCTTGACATAACATCAAACAAACCTGGATTTGACATCTACATGAAAGCTTAATTTCTATACTGTGAAAGTAATCTGCCAATCTGGAGCTGTTCCTTAGCTGCAGAACACAAGCAGTTGGCTACCAACTGGCTTCACCAATTCTAGGGGATTCTTCTCACCATTAGCTCCAGTATCTGTACAGGAAATGACCACAGACCTTCTTGCATGTTCTACCAGCAAATAGATTTACCTTGTTCTAAAACTAGGCATGAGAACAGTGAGAAAGGATACCACAAATAAGTGTCAGGGTGACCGATCACTGTGGTATTTAGTTTCACAGCAGCTGTTATTCTGATTACAGTTGGGTTTTTTATCTTTTGAGGTTTTTTGCTGTTCCGTTGAGAGGCATTGCTTATTAACCAGCTGCTGCAATGGTAGACGTGCCATGTTATTTTTAAGCAGGTAACTTTCAACTGACACTGCCTTTAATAGGCTCAGACACTTGTTGTGCTCCCCTGCCAAGCTTCCTCCCACTAGTATGACTCACTCCTAAAGACATGTCTGGGCTGCCACAGGCCATCAGGTCCACACAGGAAAATAAAGGAGTCAAGGAGAGAAGACGCTTTTGCCTTATTTATTGTTTCAAAAATTTCAAAATGTATCACACCAAGACTGATACCAGAAGTATCCCCAACTTACCTTTTTACGGTAATAGCCCTTTTACAGCATTAAATGAACAATATAGAGATGTCCTGGTCCCACGCTACATTAGCTCTTACTACTATTTTGACCCTGTTGACTAACAGAGGGCAGTGGCTTCAGGCTGTTTACAGAACCCTCTCCTTCACAGCATACCTCAGGTTCTTTTGCTCCTCTTTGAAGTCATTTAAAGCACAGGCTTAAGAAAGGAAAATAGGAGCAAATCCCTCCCTCCCCACCCAAGTCTCTTTGCTAGAAAGGAATAAGTTTTATAAG